TGTGGTAATTTACAATCACGATGCATATTCAACTTACGTGGTAATAAACTGACCATTTAATTGGAAACCCTAAAAAGTGAAAATTTTCCTTTTCCTGAAACTTTCACTTTTAGTTGCTGTGAACAAAGGTTGAGATTTCTTTTCTGTAACCTCAGAAGTAATAGTGTGAAGCTGTCAATTTAAATCAAAAGCAATTCAAAGGGACACTGCTACAGATGAGACTTGGAACCTCACTAGTGGGCTACAGAATCTGCAGGAAGTTACATAGATCATACAACGTACAGACCTCTGCTCTAGCAGAGGTGTGTGTGTGTGTGTGTGTGTGTGTGTGTGTGTGTGTAATATATATATTCCTCCGGTATCAGGCAGATTCTTGAGCAGAGGACTTTATACTAAAATCTCACTTTTTCCAGTGGAATCTATTTATCTCTTTTCCAAAAACAACTTTATAGTCATAAGTTTGTTCTTTCAGAATTTATCACACATCTAAGATGGTGGTGTCTGTGGGCAAAGAATTAAAATAAATGAGCCTGTGTAGCAAGAAGCCCCATGTGGCTGATGGAGTTGAGTGTGAAACCAGGGTTCAGTAGGAGAATTCCCTGTTAAAGTTTACTTCCAAACTCCATCAGAGAGTATGCCAGTTTTTAGTAGGAAGACTGTTTACCAGTGTACCATTTACACTGCCTTTTTTACATTAACATTTTTTGAGTTAAATTACTGCCTTGAGTCTACGTGTTCTTTGAAGAAGCCTCAGTTTCACCTAACAGGAGTATTAAAATAAGGGACCATAATATAATTGAAAAGTGTTGAACTGCTTGAAGCATTTATAGGAAGCAGTGAGAGCATGAAATATAGCAGACACAGTCCTCTGGGAATGCCAAGAAGGTTTTCATAAATAATTTGAAATAGACTCAGAGATCTTGCTTTTATTTCCTTAGTATCCATAGTTGGGAGATCATCTGACAAAGTCTGGTTTCCAGAGTATGCTGTTTTTCTCTTATGAGACAGTAAAATAGACTGGAAGCACTATGGTGGGCACCTCTCTCAAACATAAAGTAGCAAAGTAGATCATTGAAAGGAGGTGGAAGATTCAGAAAGTTAAATTAAAAACTGTATACAAGGTAGAATGTAATTAAATACTGGTTGAAAGGATAGAGAAGTTACCATAGAGTAAAAAGAAGACTCCAGAAAGAATCTTGGAGATAGACCTTCAAAGAAGAATTAGGCCTTACACAGCAGACTCAGGAGGAATGAGTAAGAAGAAGTGGGATTTTGTGGGTGTTCAGGAGTGAGGATTGACGGGGGCAAAGAGCAGTACCATCAAAGGGAGCATGCTTAATCCATTTGTTTGAAGCTGAAAAGCGGAACAGGATGCCTGGTTTGAAGTTTTTTGGCATAGAATTTTAATGCCTTGCTAAGGAATTTGTAGAATCAAAGGTGGTTAAGTGGTTAGAAAAATTACTTGGGCTGTATTAGCTTCAGACTGCATCAGAAAAATGATTTGAGCGGGGAGTGGTGGCATGCACCACCTGTAATCCCAGCATTTGGGAGGCTGAGTCAGGAGGATCTCCATGAGTTCAAGGCCAGTCTGGGATACCTAGTGAGTTCAAGGCCAGCCTGAACTACTAGTGAAACCCTGTCTCAGAGGAAAAAAAAAAAAAAAAAAAAAAAAATTTGACTGTATTCACT